CCTGAGGGAAGGGGCTCCTGGGTTGAATTGGGCAGCCTTGGGGGAGGGTCACCCACCTAGCTGACGCCGGTGTGGGTGCCTCCAGGGGCGTGTGGAATGTGCCCTATATAGCCCAGGCATACGTGATCCGCGGTGAGACCCTGAGGACAGAGCTGCCCCAGAGGGAGGTGTTCTCGGGCAGTGACACTGACCCAGACATGGCCTTCTGTAAGAGCCTGCGGGACAAGGTGAGTGGGGCCTGGGCGCCCAAAGCCAGGGTGCTGGGAAGCAGCCACCCGTGTCTCCTCACACCCCTCCCCCACCCCCGCCAGGGCATCTTCCTCCACCTCAGCAATCAGCACGAATTTGGCCGCCTCCTGGCCACTTCCCAGTATGACACCGACCACCTGCACCCTGACCTCTGGCAGATCTTCGACAACCCCCTGGTGAGTGCCTGACGTCTTGCTCAGAGAACGGGACATGCCCTTCACTATAGGAGGGCGCACGCACGCATGTCCCCGCTCCCAGGCTCTGCTCCTGCCTGGGGAGAGGCGGAAGTCTCTGGGGAGAGGCGCTGGAGCTTCCTGGGTGGGACCGGAGGGAGTGAAGAGGGCACACATCAAGGTGCTCACCCCTCCCCCTCCTCCCCCAGGACTGGAAGGAGCAGTACATTCATGAGAACTACAGCCGGGCCCTTGAAGGGGAGGGACTTGTGGAGCAGGTGAGCCCCGAGCAGGACCCCTGACCGCCCTGGTGGGCACCGCCCCTGAGTCCGCTGCCTGGATTAGTGGTTCCCAAACTGACTTCCCTCAGACAGATAAAGGCGAAGGCCGAACAGATAGGCCTTCGGCTCCCCGCCCTGCCACTAATCAGAGTGATCCTTTCTTGTCTCTTGGGCCTATTGGTGTTATGGGTGAAATGACAGTTTTGTAAAGAAGCCCCAAACCCGGGGTTCTGGCACCTTCCTGCCTTCTGTGCCGGGTCCCCTGCACCGCTCCCACCTTCTCCGGCCCTGCCTTTCCTGGCCCATCCCCATGCTCAGATCCCCGTTCCTCCAGCTTCTCCCATCTCCCGGCTTCCCTTTCTGCTCCCTGCTTTCTCTCCCCTGGGTTGGCTGCCTGTCTCCTCCAGAGAGGTCTGCAAGCATCCCCCAGCCCTGTTGTTCTTCCTCTGCCCATCCTCAGCCGTGCCCAGACGTGTACTGGTTCCCGCTGCTGTCTGACCAGATGTGCGACGAGCTGGTGGAGGAAATGGAGCATTACGGCCAGTGGTCAGGAGGCCGGCATGAGGTGAGAGGGGCCGGGCCAGGGGAGGAGGCGGAGGCCACCGGGCGAGGGAGGTGCGGCTGTGATGGAGGGGAATGGAATCAAGAGAGTGGGAGCAGAGAAGGGGACCCCGGGGGGGTACCCACAGGGGGCACAATTGCATGTGTGTGCGTGAGCATTCGTTCAGGAACTCCTTCCTGGGGCACGCAGGTCCCAGGCACCAGCTACTGACCTAGGCGGTGTGTCACATTGAGCTGTGCTGGTCGAGCCCTGCCCTCCAGCACCTCACCTGCTAGAGTCAGTAACAATAGCCCAGCTCCTGAAGGCTGTGACAGGCAGCCCAGAGGCTGTGGGAGTCACAGGAGGGGCCTTGGCCCGGACATGGGGGGACCGAGGGGCTTCACAGGAGAGGTGACATCTTCAGGGCCAGGAGGAGTGAGGGTCAGGCTAAGTGGTCGAGGCTGCCAGACCCGGGTCACACAAGCTTTCAGGCCTGAGAGCGAGAGGAGGGGGAAGCTGGCGCGGCCCTGTTGGGGCTCAGTGCCCACCGCTCACAGGACTCGAGGCTGGCCGGAGGCTACGAGAATGTGCCCACCGTGGACATCCACATGAAGCAGGTGGGCTATGAGGACCAGTGGCTGCAGCTGCTGAGGACGTACGTGGGACCCATGACAGAGAGCCTGTTCCCAGGCTACCACACCAAGGTGGGCCGCCGCCCCTGCTACCCCTGCCTCTACCTTCCCACACCCCAGTCCTGGCTGGAAGTCTCCACATGGCGCCATTTCAGCGCCTGTAGCATCCGGAGCCTTGTGGAAAGGGCTTCCGCAGGAGGGCAGCCAGGGGGAGTTAGCGGTGAGACCCCCGTGGCCCTCCGCCTACCACCCTCCTCAGAAGGCCCCCGGGACCTCACAGCCATCCCTCCAGTGTCTTCTGTCACGTCCCCACAGACCCGGGCAGTGATGAACTTCGTGGTCCGCTACCGGCCAGACGAGCAGCCTGCTCTGCGGCCCCATCACGACTCATCTACCTTCACTCTCAACGTGGCCCTCAACCACAAGGGCCTGGATTATGAGGTGAGCCCCAGGCGCCCTCCCGCGTCAGGGCACCAGCAGGGCCCCTCCACACGTGCACGCGTGCACACGTGCACACACTTGAGCCCCCGGGACTTTGCTCTCCTGCCCCCTGACGACCCCTACACACCCTTCAGTCGCCCGCCCTGCCCGATGGCACGTCGTGTTCATGTTTCTAGTTACTTTGAAGGCGCCATCTCCTGGACCTCTTCCAGGCTGTGTGCCTCGCCGCCCCCCCCCCCCCCCCCCGTGCCTCCCTTGTGTGCCGACACCCCAAAACCCCATGCCTGCCTCTCTCCCCACCGTGGCGGCCAGCCCCCCAGCCCCCTGTCTGCTCACTGTCCACTTCCGTTCCCCTGTTCCTCCAGGGAGGTGGCTGTCGCTTCTTGCGCTATGACTGCATAGTCTCGTCCCCGCGGAAGGGCTGGGGGCTCCTGCACCCCGGCCGCCTCACCCACTACCACGAGGGGCTGCCCACTACTCGGGGCACTCGCTACATCATGGTGTCCTTTGTCGACCCCTGACACTCAACCACTCTGCCAAACCTTCCCCGCCGTTGTGCCTTCCCGCGCCCCCCTCCTTGGAGATGGGGGTCTGTCTGGCGCCTCCCTTCCTGAGTGGATGTTCGGCGTGCCTGGGACTGAATGTGTCGCCTCCCCACCCAACACACGGCCCTCTCAGGAAGCTCCTGGAGCCCCACTGCCCCTCCCCACAGCCCCCAAAGATTCATGGGGAGAAGGCTTCTGGGGGCTCCCCATACGATAAATTATTGTTTCTCAGCCTCCCTCCCAATAAAGGAGGATTTGTAACTCTTGAGTCCGCGTCCGTCTTTCCCCTCCCCGCTGACCCTGTATCCCTCCTGCCCCCAGAGCGGAGGGGGAGACCTGGAGCTACCCCAAAGAAAAAGAGCAGGGAGGAAAAGGCAGAAAGCAGATGGTAGAGCAGCGTGGGAACCGAGAAGCTTCCCTGGATCCTGTTTGTCACTCTGCTGTTTTGCCTAGGGGTGGGGGGGGAGGGGAGCCTGAGAAGGGCCAGGCACCGAGGACTTCACTTAGATTCAGGTGAAAGCCCACCCCGGCCTCCCCCAGCCTCTCCTCCCTGACACTCTCTCGTCCCTTGAGGGCATCTTCTTCCTTGCATGAAGCGAGGGGGTGGCAGAGCCCTGAGCTGGCCTCTGGGGACAGTGCTAAGGGAAGGGAGGCCCCCTGGAAGCATGGGTTCCAAAGGAAGACACAGGAGGCTTCTGGGACCCAAGCTTTTAGTCAGAGGAGGATCAGGAAAAGGGAAGCCTTGGAGGGTCAGCCCAAGAAAGCTTCCTGGAAGAGGGGAATGGAAAGTAGCCTTGAAAAAGAGGCGAGACCTCCTGAGAGCTGATGTCTTCCAGCCTCTGGGGGGGGCCATCAAGCCCTTGCTAAGCCAGCGAAACCCCTGGAGGCACCCTGAGGACCTCAGGCCGTGTTCCTTTAGCTTGATCCTTCGCAGGTCCTAGCACCAGCCTACCTTCCTGAATGTCTCTCCCAGCTGGTCCCCTGCAGAAGGCTTTTGAAAACCAAACGGGCCCATTTCCTGGTCCTTGGGCGTTTCTTGCCTCCAACACCTCACATGCAATCCACCCCTTTCTTGCTATTGCCCGGACTCCCAGGAAAACCTCCTCTGTGAAGTCTTCCTTCCTGACAGGTGGGGCTGGTCCCCCTTCCCTGTGGACTGAGCACCTCTCTGGCCAGACTTTTCAGTGCATCTCACCCGGTCTCCCTGCGGATGGAAGTGAGCTGAGTAGGGACAGGAGACATTACTTCCTGGGGTGGGGCGAGGGGCAACCCACACGAGAGTGAAGCAGGGGCCAGGACAGAAAGGGTGAGCCAGCCTGAGTGGCATTGGACGCTGGCTCATCCTGTCTCCTACCATGCTCATTTACTGAGCATCCCTCACCTGCTGGGCACCTGTCACAGGGTTAGGGTTGATGAGAACAACAGCTGTCTTCTTGTGGCTCACAGCTGGGGGTAGACCTTAGCCAGAAAATCGCCACGAAGGAGGGAACGTGGGAAAGTATTTTATGCCAGGAGAGAATGGGACAGAGGATGTATGTCAGACTTGCCTAAAGAAGTGACATTCTCTGACCGGGAGAGGGTCCACAGCTCTGGCCCGTGTTGGGGAGGGCCCCAGCCATGTGAGGACTGGTCCCGCATACTTGGAGGGTGTGTCCTTTTGGGCTGGCCAATTGCTGGCCTTTCTGGCCATTCCTGCCGGAATGTCTCCCCACAGCAGCCTAAGCTACTCCTTAGGGGCCAGACCAGGGCAATTAAAGGGGTTTCTAGCTGCTCTCACTTGTGTGGGGAGCCCATACCACTCTGGCAACACCCCATTTTCCCAGACCTCTGCCAGCCAGCTCCTCAGAGGCCCCTCAGAGGCCCAAGGTCCTGACCTCTGCAAGGTCTGCACACCCTCCCTCCCAGGCTCCCTGGCCACACCCCTGGGCATTTCTGTTTGGTCCTATTGATCACAACCCTGAGAGCTCGTGTAGTCGTTAACCCTTTCTTGCTGGGGCTCACAAGGGTACAGGGTTCAGGTCAGCAAAGGGGGTGGACACAGGAGCCAAACCAGGGCCAAGGGTCAGGGCCAGCAGGTTGGACCACAGGGAGTGTACTTAAGAGCCCACGGTAGCCCCTATGGGATGTGCCTCCACAGTATGCCAGCCTCCTCCAGCCACCCTGCCGGGGTCTTCAAGGGGTTGCTGTCCTGCAATGGGTCTTCTCCTACTTGGGGCTCGGTGAGGCTCAGCACCTGGCACTCTGCTTCCCTGTTACCAGGAGGGAGGCAGGACAGGGCTTTCTGGGCACCGCTGAAGGAATGAGAAGGAATTAGCTGGGCAGGAGGGCCTCCAACAGGGACGAGAGGGCAGAGGCGGGTACCTGGGGACTTAAATGCCTGGGTCCTTAATGTCCCCCACTCCATCCTCCCGCCCAGGTGTGCCTTGCTCTGCTAAGCCGAGCAGGGACACACGGAGGGCAGGAGGCCACCGATCTCCCTGGGTCCGCAGCTGGGCCATCTGGAGACATTTCCGAGATTAGGTCCCTGTCTTCGGTGAGGCCATCCAGGAGTGGTGTGCTGGGTGGGGGCAAGGCTTTGGAATAGACTCTTCTCTGGTTACCCCCCAAAGTCTAATCTCACGGTCAGAGTGGGGTATGTTGCCCCTGCCCCCAGCTGGTTAAAACCGCAGAACTGGATCCCTCCGGCAACTACCTCTTCGGCTTCCACCCTCACCGGGTCCTGGTCACCGGGGCCTTCAGCAACTTCTGCACGGAGGCCACCGGCTTCTCCAGCCTCTTCCCCCGCCTCCTGCCATACCTCCTCATGCTGCCTTGTTGGTTCTACCTCCCTCTCTTCCGGGACTACATCATGTGTCGTGGTGAAAAGTGGGGAGATCCCCCAGTCCATGCTGTGTCACCCCCCACCTCCCTGGGGTGGCGGGGGAGCTCCTGGTCCCAGCTCTACCTTCCTGGCGCCCTCCTCCCCCTTTTCTCAAAGACCCAGGCATCCGGGCCCCCTCTCCCCTCCCCCCAGGTTTGGTGTCCTCTGACAAGGCCAGCGGCTGCCTATCTGTTGTCCCGGCCTGGGGGGCGGCCAGGTGGCGGTCCTGGCCGTGGGAGGGCCCCTGGAAGCGCCGGAAGCAAAAGCCGGCGAGCTGCTTTTGTGGATCCGGAATCAGAAGGGCTTTGTCCCGTTGGCGCGGGAACAAGGGTGAGGAAGCCGCAGTGGCCGGGCGGGACGCTCGCGGGCTACCCTGTCGCGGAGGAGCGTGGCGCGCCGGGGAAACCCGGAGTCGGGCGCGCCTCTGCTCTCCCCCAGGGCCTCCCTGGTGCCCTGCTTTCTCTTTCGGGCACAACGAGCTCTTCCAGCAGTTCCCAAACCCTCCCGGCTCGCGGTTGCGGAGCGCGCAGGAGGCGCTGCCGCCGCTGCTGAGCGTGGCCCTGCCGCTGTTTCAAGGCCCCTTGGGCCTCCTCCTGCCTTTCCGCACGCCCATCCACACCGTCGGTGAGCCCCGGCCTCTGCCCCCTCCGCTCCCCGCCGGCGCACCGGCTCCCGCGGAGCTCCGGCCCCGCGCCCTCCCCGCGCCAGGAGGTGAAGGTCCCCGCCTGCTGGCCACACCTTGGCCGCGCCGGCCTCACCCTTCGGCAACCGGCCAGGCCCTGAACACTGTCCCGGACGGTCGCGCGGCTGGGCGGGAAGGGCACGGGCTGGGGATTCCAACCACCGCCCCTCTGGCGTCCCGTTCTGCCCGCAGAGGGGGCCCCGATCCCGGTGCAGCGAAGCCCGCGGCCCAGCCGGGAGCAGGTGGACGCGCTGCACGCGCTGTCGGTGGAGCGGCTCGCGCAGCGGTTCGACGAGCGCAAGGCGCGCCACGGCCTCGCCGCCCACCCGCACCTCCTCCTCGCCCGGCGCCCGCGGCGGCGGTGCGACCGGAGGGAAATTCAACGTGGCAACAGAGCTGCGGTGTGTGCGTGTCTGTGCGGGGCCGTGCCTCCGGGTGATCTTGATTCTCCCGGAGGCCTGCACCCAGATCCGGGGCGCGCAGCGGGGGCGTGCCCGGCCGCCCTGCAGCTCCCACGGTCTCAGCGGAGCTTCTGGCCCCTGCCGGCGGCTGGGACCCGGGGTGGGGGGGCGGGCTCCCCAAGCTCCTTGTGAGCCTCCTCCCCACATCAGTTCCCGGACAGCTGACACACTCACTATATCCCTCACCGATTCCCTGCAGCCTCCCAGCTCCGCCCAGCGACCAGCCCAAACCGACTAACGCTTGCAGTTCAAAGATCATTCTGGAGACATCTGGGGCTCCGGATCCACACACGCGCAACACACCCGCAGTCCCGGGAGAGCCCGAGGGGTTGGGCCCCTCCGGCAAGAAAGCCTTCCATCCGCCAGCCAACCTTCTTCGTTTGGGCTCCGGGCCCTGGAGCCTCGCTGGCAGAGGGCAGCGACTGGGACAGGAGTCTCCACAGCCCCGCCGCGACCCCACCATGGAATCCGTGCAGAAACAGTGGCCAGAAGTAATGAGCGCCTACCAATACGTGCTCACTTTCCTCTTCATGGGTGAGAGGCCTGGTGCCCTGGGGTCCCCAAAGGGGGCAGGGACCTGGGGGAGAAAGGCTGGGGCCCCATTTGCCTGCGTGCCTGAGGGCAAAGGGAGCAGGAGAGGGCCAGAGTTCAGGCTGGGAGATGGCTGGGTGCACACCCACCATCTGTGAGGGCGGAGGAGAGAGCCGCTGCGTGGAATGACCCATCTTCCAAAGCTAATGCACTCTTCTTCTTTGTCATCTTTCCCCCAGGCCCTTTCTTCTCCCTTCTTGTCCTCTCCCTCCTCTTCACGTCATTCTGGTCCGTCTCCGTTCTCTACTTGGTGTGGCTCCTCCTGGACTGGGACACGCCTAACCAAGGTGAGCGCTGCTGGGCATGTGCCCAAGGAGCGGAGATGGTGGCCAGGGGCCTCCAGAAATTCTTCAAAGCATCTCTCTGCCCCAAGGTGGAAGGCGCTTTGAGTGGACCAGGAACTGGGCCATGTGGAAACACGCCAGGGATTATTATCCTATCAAGGTGACAGGTTACCCTCCGCAGAGACACTCTTCCTCCTACCTCTCCTCACCCCTCCTCACCCCTGCCTAGGCACCCCTGGGCTCCCTAAACTCAGACAGTGGGGCACGGGGCGGGGGCTGCCGAGTGGTGTTCCAGAGTAGGCTCTCTGTGCTGCCCACCCCATTCAAGGACCCTGAACTCTGAGGTCGGTTAGGGTGGAGGGCAACTCTTTTCAGCTGGTGTCCTGCCTTCCACGCCTCTTTCCGCTCATCCTACCTAATCCCCCCCGCCCCGCCCCAAGCTGGTGAAAACAGCCGAGCTGCCCCCTGACCGGAACTATGTGCTGGGTGCCCACCCACACGGGATCATGTGCATTGGAACCTTCTGCAATTTCTCCACCGAGGCCAACAACTTCTCCAAGCAGTTCCCGGGGATTCAGCTCTCATCGGCAGTGCTGGCCTCCCTCTTCCACTTCCCAATCTATCGTGACTACATCATGTCCTTTGGTGAGCCTCGAGCTGAGTGGGAGGAGGCACCCGTTCCTTCCGCCCACCCTTGACTGCCTCCCACGCACCTAACACAGGGACCTGGCCTGAACACTGGCCTGGCTCACGGTGAGCATCAGTGAATAGCTCTGGTTGCAGCAAGTATCCTGCATCCTTGCTGGGAGAGGCACTGTAGGTCACACTGACATGGGCGTGGAGATGGCAGGTTTGGAGGGCATGGGGTGTGGGGCTCACTAAAGGGCGGGTGAGGGGCTAGGCAGCCCAGGAGGGCGTGGTGACCGTTCCCCACCTCCTCACACACGCAGGAATATGTTCTGTGAACCGGTGGAGCCTGGACTTTGTTCTGTCACGGCGCCGGCTCGGGCAGGCTGTAATCATCATGGTTGGGGGTGCCCAGGAGTCCCTGTATGCCATCCCAGGAAAGCACTGCCTCGTTCTCCGGAATCGCAAAGGCTTCGTGCGCCTGGCACTGAGGCACGGGTGAGTGGGGGTGCAGGTGCCCAGCCCGGGGCTGCTGTTGATGGTCAGAACTTCACATTGTGTCTGCGGGTCTACACTCTTTTGTCCCTACCCATCCAGGTCCCTGTAGCCTGGACTCTGTGTCCCCAGAGCCCACACTGCGCTCTCTGGCACATGTCAACACTTGAGCACTTTCTCTGTGCCAAGCACCATGCCCACTTTTGCCAGGCTTCTGCCCTCTCTGAAAGAGGCAGGATCGTAGTGCAAGTAGCAGGACCTTGGGCTCAGAAGTCCTGGATTCAAAGCCCTTTCTGACACTACCTCAAAGGCAAGACCTTGGACATGTTTCGTTACCTGTGAGATAGGACTAATGATTACTTTGCTACAATGTTGTAGTTGCAAAGACTCGATGAGAAAATGTATACGGTTGACCCTTGAACAGCGTGGGTTTGAACCGCACAGGTCCCTTATACATGGATTTTTTTTTTACAATATAGTACTGTAAATGTATTTTCTCTTCCTGATGATTTTCTTTTTTTTAAGATTTGATTCATTTATTTATTTGAGAGAGAAAGCACATGCGTGAAGGGAGGGAGAAGCTGAGGGAGAGGCAGAGAACCTCAAGCAGACTCCACACTGAGTGCAGAGTCCAACTTGGGTTTCGGTTCCACGACCCTGAGATCATCACCTGAGCTGAAACCAAGAGTTAGGCGCTCAGCCAACTGAGCCACCCTGGCACCCCCTGATGATTTCTTCTCTTTTTCTTTTCTTTTCTTTTCTTTTTTAGATTTTATTTATTTATTTGAAAGAGAGAGAGAGAGAGGGAGAAAGAGCATGAGCTGGGGGAGGGGCAGAAGGAGAGAGAATCTTAAGAAGACACCCTGCTGAGTGCAGAGCCTGACATGGGGCTGGATCCCAGGACCCTGGGATCATGACCTGAGCTGAAGGCAGACGCTTAACGACTGAGCCACCCAGGCGCCCCTAACTTACTTTATTATAAGAATACATTATGTAGTACATATACAAAATATTGTTAATCGACTATTTATGTTATTGGCCATGCTATTAGTAGTTAAGTTTTGGGGGAGTGTTAAGTCATATGAGGATTTTTGGGGTGGGGGTCAGTGCCCCTTACCACGTGTTGTTCAAAGGTGAACATATGAAGGCCCAGGACACAATCATTTCTCAAGAATTCTGAGTCCCTTCGTCCAGATCTTTCTTTGTCATTTGCTTGAAACGGCCTTGGGCAGTGGAATCCAGAGGCGTAGGGAGGGATTTGCGGTTCTGTCTTGGGATGCTCCGAAAGCCACTGGCCTGACCACCCTTCTTCTCTCTCCTTGTCCCTTCCCAGGGCCTCCCTGGTACCTGTGTACTCCTTTGGCGAGAATGATGTCTTTAATTTTAAGTTTTTTGCCACAAACTCCTGGCAGTATATGTGCCAGATCACCTTCAAGAAAATCATGGGCTTTGTTCCTTGCATCTTCTGGGGCCGCGGGCTCTTCTCGGCCAACTCCTGGGGCCTGGTGCCCTTCGCCAGGCCCATCACCACTGTGGGTGAGTGCCCACCTCCAGGCAAGAAAGCTGCTGTCGGCTGTGTGGGCAGCAGAGCTCCCCCCCCCGACATCCTCTGTCTCTCCTCTTCCTGCAGTGGGCCGCCCCATCCCAGTGCCCCAGCGCCTGGACCCCACCGAGGAGGAGGTTGACCACTATCACATGCTCTATATGGAGGCTCTGGAGCAACTCTTCGAGGACCACAAGGAAAGCTGCGGTGTCCCAGCTTCTACTCACCTCACCTTTATCTAGCCCTTGCCGTCCCCCCGCCCCCGACCCTGAGCCCCTCAGCCCAGGGCACTGAGACCCTCCTCCTACTGCTTCTCTGTACTGGTCCTTCTCTCCCACCACTACGTTGTAGAATCGGATGCCTGCGGAGCTCGCACCCTGGCTCTGGGGGTAAGGGGGCCCAGGCATGATCCACCTTCATTCTCCTCTACTGCGAAGCTGCTGCTTTGGATTGGGGATCGGAATTCCCCTCCCAGCAAGCCTTAATTCTGCTGCATGACCTTGCCTACGTATCTTTCCTTTGCTGAGGCCTTTCTCCCTCTGTGAATGAAGGCGTCTGCTTCCCGGAGAGCTGTAGGGCCTCGGGATTGAGTTGGGGCGGGTGGCTCTAGGGAGAGGTTGGCTTTGCAGGGTGAGCTGGAAAAGATAGGATGGATGGTGGAATAGTCAGCCTGAGCAAAAGCTGAGCTTGGTTAAGGGTTCCTGGCCATATGGGAAGTGGAATGATCTCCGATGGTAGAAAAGGTAGTGTTGGTCCATAGCTTGCTACTGCACCCCTCTCCATCCTTTATGTTTCCTTGTGGCCAGGAGATGAATGAAGCAGGGACCTGTTTGACCAGCACAAAGCCCAGCTGCTAGCCCAGTGTTAGGTCAACATTAACCCAGCCGCTCAGTGAGCACAGGACTCTTGTGATGATCAAAGAATTAAGATGTAAGGGGCTTAGAACGGAGATTGGCAAAATATCATCATTCCTCATCACAGACACGGCGTCAGTCCAAGGAGAGGGTAAGACCGGACAGTCTAAGGGTCCTCATGTGGTCATAGCATTCCCTGACAACATCAGTCCTGTTTGCTGACCAGCTTTGCGTCGGTATCCAGGACTTCAGAAAAACTTGCTGAAATGTAATTGGAATGCAACTGTATTAGTCTCCCACTGTCCTATAAAATACATTCAGTGGAAGAATTTTTTTTTTTTTTTTGGTTTTGTTCCTGGAGGAAAATCTGAGCAGCCCCGGGACTTATCAGGGTCACAGGTGGTAAGTTCTTCATTCACCTTAAGTTGTTACATAGACATGTAGCTTGAGTAGGAATCCACACTTGGATCTTCATCCAAGGGTAGGAACCTTCCATCTCCAGCAAGGGCAGCAAGCGGGATACCTGCTTGACCAGAAGGGACAGCTGGGGAAGGTGGAGTACAAAGGGGATGGAGTTGACCTCTTTCTTCCCCCACCTCTCCTTCCCCTTCTAGTCTCTGTTACTGAACCCTAGGGACTGGAGTATGGGGCAGAGGAAGAGAAAGAGGATCCCAAACATTCTTGACAACACTGTCCTAAGCTTCATGTTCTCTGGGCCTCCAGACCTTCCAAGCTGATTCCTTTTCCTCAGGGGGGCTCTCCTGGATTCTCCAGAGTATTCTCTTTTAGATTCCTCTGCCTCATCATCTGTCCCTGGTTTTCTGCCCATGGCACTCGACATAGGATTTCTCCTTAGGAAGCCCATTGCTTTTCTAGGCTGGGAAGTAGAGAGAGGGATGGAAAATAAACAGCTCCAGGTTGGAACACGCTTAGCTTGGATACTATTAGAACACAGGCTGGGCTCAATGCAGCCACTTGTCCTTCCTTCTTTCCTGGATGGGAACATCCAGTCAGCTACCATCTAGCCATTAGACTTCTCTGGTGGACATGTCCCCCAAACCCTGGGGCATCCTAAACTCTTTGAGTCTTGCAACCTTTGTCACTGATCCTGTGGAGGCAAGCCTTGCCCTCCACGGGTAAGGCTTGCAGAGCTCAGAAGTCCTTCCCCCACACCTCTCTCCTTTGTGTCCAAATTCCAATCTTTGTCCTGGGTCAGGGACTCAAGAGTATCTTCTCAATCATTTACTTGGAATATGTGGTCTTGCTTGTTGCATGTTGCCTGGTCTGGACACCTCTGGAATGCATTGCCTACTTGTTTGAACTTCGTGCCTCAGCCCAAACTTTCAGGATAGTGTCACATGTTTTTCTCTGGATTCTTCCCCAGAGGGACAAAGGCACCAACTTCTAGTGAGAACCTACCCCCAAGAGCTGGTGGTGTGAGGATTAGATGGCTGTGGGCCTTCCTCCAAGAACCCCCCTGCCCTTCTCCCCTGTGAGTGGTAGATGCCTATCTCTGGGGAGGGGAGGTTGGGCTGGGTGGTAAGTGAGGAATGGGGCCTTTGAGGACTGGGGGAGAGGGAGGAGGGGTCTTCACTCCCCATCATTCATGTCTCCTGTCTGTAATCCAAGGCCAATAGTCAGGGGATGGGAGGGATTGGCCAGAGGCTGGAGAGAAACAGGAGAGGCCAAGAAGCGCAGTAAGGAGTGGGCTGGCCCTAGAGTAAAAAGGAGTAAAGTGCTCCCAGTGCTTGTGAAAACAACTGGGCAAGTTTCTCAAGAAAGTGGTCATGTCTGATCCCCATGGAGAGAGGAATTGAGAGGGAACATTATGCTTCATGTGGAGACATCTGAGTGAGAGGAGAGGTCACAACACAAACCAGAGAGATACAGGAAGTTCCAGATCAGGCTTCCGTCCCTGGGAGAGAGACTTGGCGCCCATATCCATACGTACGTTTTGGGGGTGGGGTGCAGCAAGCAGAATGCATCATCAGTCTGAGGGTTTGGCAAGACCATGAGGGGCAGAGGGAGTTGGAAGTGACACCCCTGGGGCGCCTGGGTGGCTCAGGTCATGATCCCGGGGTCCTGGGATCGAGCCCCACCTGGGGCTCCCTGCTCAGCGGGGAGTCTGCTTCTCCCTCTGCCTCTGCCCCTCCTCCTGCTTGTGCTCTCTCTCTCTCTCTCTCTCAAATAAATAAAATCTTAAAAAAAAGAAAGAAAATGACACCCCTGGACAATGACAAGTGTCCCCTGCTGGATTGAGATACCAGGTGAGACGCTCAGAATGGCCTTTTGCACATCAGTCCCCTGTTTCCCAGAAGCCGCTATCATATGGGATTGCTCCTCAGCAATCAGAGAGGTCTTGCCCCTTCTCTCCCATCCCCCCCCTTCTCCTGCTGTCAAGATGCTCTTTGTAAAACACTGCTTTCTTCATGTAATTCTCCCTGCTGGATCCTCACTGTCGCTGGATTCTCATTGCTAGAAGGTGAGAAATCCTCAGCCCAGCATTCGAGGTAGCCTTCAAACAGAGCCCAGCCCGGCTTCCCAGCCGTCCCTGACTCGGCCCTCCTTCCTAAGTGGAGAATGGATGGAACCCCTACCAAGGAGTCACAGCTCAGCTCCCAGGGTTCAGCCCTCACTATGTGCGGACCTTCAGGTTCACTCACTGCCTCTAATCTTCCCATCTACACCACAGTGTCCCCGCTGAGCTCGAAATGAGGTATGCACGGAAAGGCTTAGCGTGGCACCTGGCAGGGTGCTCAGCAAATATTAGTTATTGTCACTCTTACTTCGCCCACCTCTTTCCACACAATCTTTTCCTAGCCATGGCCACATCCCAAGCCTTACACTATGGGATCCGCATTATGTACACCATCACATTATGTGGACTGGTGTTCTGTTACCCCAAACATATGGCTCATCCACGATCTTTTATCTCATATTATTAAATGCGGATGTTAAGGGCGGGAAGTGTGTCTTGTTTGTGTTTACATTCTGACCGTGTTCTGGTGATGGCCATGCACCAGGCATGAACAAATGAAGCATGTCCAAGAGACCTGTGCAGAGGGAACCAGCTGCATCGTTCGTAGATTGTGCCCAGCACCAGGAAGCCCAGCTTGGGGGGCGGGCAGGGGTGCATAGGAGTTCCCTTCACAGAGCCAGAAGCGGGGGTGGGGGTGGGGTTGCATCCATTGTGGGAAGGGAGAAAGATATACTAGTTTCCTAACAAAGCACCACTCACTTGATGATTTGGTTTTTTTTTTCTAGATTTTATTTATTTATTTGACAGAGACAGAGAGAGTGAGCACAAGCAGGGGGAGTGGCAGGCAGAGGGAGAGGGAGAAGTAGGCACCCTGCAGAGCAGGGAGCCCGATGCGGGGCTCGATCCCAGGACCCTGAGATCATGACCTGAACCAAAGGCAGACACTTAACCGACTGAGCCACCCAGGCGCCCCGCACTTGGTGATTTAAAACGACAAAAATTGATTGTCTCACAATTCTGGAGACCAGAATCAAGTGTCGGCAGGGTCTGTTCCCTCTGAAACCTGTAGAGGAGAAACCCTCCCTCCCTCCTTCCAGCCCCGGGTGGTGCCATCAATCCTTGGCCCGCACCTACGTCACCCAGTCTCTGTCTCTGCTGTCACATGGCCTTCTCCCTCTGTGTCGGGTCCCAATCTCCCTCTCCTATAGAACTCCAGTTCTAGATTCGATTAGGGCCCATCCTTATTCAGTATGACCTCATCTTTTTTTTTTTTAAAGATTTTATTTATTTATTTGACAGAGAGAGACACAGCAAGAAAGGGAACGGAAGCAGTGGGAGTGGGAGAGGGAGAAGCAGGCTTCCCACTGAACAGGGAACCCGATGCAGGGCTCGATCCCAGGACCCTGGGATCATGACCTGAGCCGAAGGCAGACGCTTAACGACTGAGCCACCCAGGCGCCCCTGGAAGAGTCTAACATAAATATATGAACTGAGGAAAACATATGAGTAACTTGATGCCTCCTCTGGTTTTTTCCTTCCCTGTCATTCTCCATGTGGCCACCAGAGGGCCGTCTCTACTCACAAGGCAGATGTGTCACTTCTTAAAACCTTCCCCCCCCCCCCCCCCCCCCCGCTGACCAGTCCCTGCCCACAAGATGGGTACAACCCAGAACTACTTCTTCTTGTGAAGCAGGCTGTTGCTCTGGGCTTTGCTCAGGCTGTCCCCTCCTCCTTGGCGGGACCTTGCCTTTCTTTATCCTTCTGGAGGGTTTGTTTTGTTTTTTTTTTAAGATTGTATTTTTAAGTAATCTCTATACCCAACGTGGGGCTCGAACTCACAATCCCAACATCAAGAGTCTCAAGCTCTAAGGACTGATCCAGCCCTGGAGGGGAATTTTTAATACCCAGTTAAGGTGGCATTTCCAGGACACCTCCCTTAACCTATCAGTCTGCCAGGCTGGTTCAGGGCATCCCACCTCTGCATCCCTAAGAGCTCCATCACGACCTTTCTGTGTCACTGTGACGCACCAGTTTATCCAAAAAGTTGGATAACTTGAGCATCTGGAAGGGACAGTAACTGTATCACATTAAACATACTTAAAACCCATGAGTTCATAGTGGTTCTAAAAATAATAATTGATCCCCATTGGAAGTTGTTGAGGCATCAACTTGTTATTTTGAAGACCAGCAAATAAAAGGAAAAATTTTATTTTTTTAAAGATTTTATTTATTTATTTATTTGAGAGAGCGAGAATGAGAGATGGAGAGAGAACACATGAGAGGGGGGCGGGTCAGAGGGAGAAGCAGGCTCGATGCGGGACTCGATCCCGGGACTCCAGGATCATGACCTGAGCCGAAGGCAGTCGCTTAACCAACTGAGCCACGCAGGCGCCCCAAAAGGAAAAACTTTAAAGCATTTAAATGTCCATGGAGCCGGACGTGGGGCTCGATCTCACGACCCTGAGATCATGACCTGAACTGAAATCAAGAGTCGATTGCTTGACAGACTGAGCCACCCAGGCGCCCCCAGACGTTTATTTCTCATGGGTCTGGAGGCTACAAGTCCATGATCAAGGTGCTGGTAGATTCAGTTTCTGGTAAGAGAGCTCTTCCTGGCCCGTAGACAGCCACCTTCTTTCTGCCTCCTCACAAGGCCCTTTTCTGCAAATTCGAAGGTAGAGAAGGATCTCTGGTGTCTCTTCCTCTTCTAATCCTATTGGATTTGGGCCCCACCCTTATGATCTCAGTTAGCCTTACTTACCTGTGTAAAGGCCCCTGTCTCGGGGCTCCCTGCTCAGCAGGAAGCCTGCTTCTCCCTCTCCCACTCCCCCTGCTTGTGTTCCCTCTCTCGCTGTGTCTCTCTCTGTGTCAGATAAATAAATAAATAAACAAACAAACAAACAAACAAATAAATAAATAAAATCTTTAAAAAAATTTTTTTAAAAGGCCCCTGTCTCCAAATACAGTCACATTGGGGGTCAGGGCTTCAACATATGAATTGGGGGGTGGACACAATTCCATCCCTATCACCGTGATAAAGATTTACTGAAATACCAGAAATGATATGATGTCTGAAACTTATTTCAAAATATCGGCGTGTTTGCGGAGCCCAACGATATCAGCTCTGAGCTGATAATTGTTGAAGCCGATGATAGGCTAGTGAGGCTTCATTATACTGTTCTATTTTTTGGGTATGTTAGATAGTCTCCAGAATAAAAGTGGTGGGGTTTTTTTGATGGCTAGCTCAACTGAGCTCTTCGAGGGCAGAAATGGACCCATCGAAGCGACGTTAATGTTTGCAAATAAATGACAGACATTACAACCAACGTTGGTTCATGTGGACCAGAGAGAGGAACCTGGTGATGGGTGGGGAGAGAAGATGTGGAATTTCAGGGACTTCTAGGCACAAGCCCTCATACTGAACCTTTAGAAATGCAGCATGAGGCTGGGTTGTGCATTGGCTTGGGGTTAAGGTGCCAGGAGTCTGGTTTTACCTCTACCCAGTGGATGACTTTTGATAAATGATCAAAGGTGGTTTCACCTTCCCCCACTCTAGAACTAAGTTGAAGTCATTCCTTCTTTCATAATATACTTATTAAGCACTTACTGTATGCCAAGATCTGAATGAAATGCCAGAGGTATAAAGACAGCTTTAACATCAGGGCGCCTGGGTGGCTCAGTTGGTTAAGCGTCTGCCTTAACCCCAAACCCAAAAATCTGAAGGAGGAAGTCCTGGTCATCAGAATCCCAGGAAGTGGGGGTGTTCAGAGGCCAGGGAAGAAGACCCAAGGTGGTCTGTTGAAGGGGAGGGGTGAAAGACCATGTTGGGGATTGGAGGGCCCTGCAGCTGAGGATGGGCCTAAGTAAAAGGACAGGAAGCAACGATACTACCCACCTGACAGTAAGGCACACCCGTCCAGAGAGAAGACACACAATAGGCACTTCCAAATATAAAAGACCCAAATAAACAAGCCCAGCAAGAGGGTCAAAGCCAGTATGGATCCCAAAGTCCGAGACAGTGTTTACCAAATTCAGAGCAACTAAGGAAATCTCCAGCATTACTAGCACTGACGTTGATTTCGTGCTTTGCCGTTTGCAAAGCATTTTCACAAAGTACATCTGACCTCTGAGGGGTGAGTGGGCGGTGGGGTCTGCATTTGCAGCCAGAGGCCCTCATAGTGTCCCTTGCCAGCTATGGGATCTAGCCCACATCGTGGGACTTCTCAGAACCCACTTTCTTCATCTGTAAAGTGACTAAACAGCCTCACCCATCCTACAGTGTTGTGAAAATTAAACCGAAGTGCTGTGCAAACAATCTGGGTGGTTCTGTGGCTCACCATCAGAAGGGGGTGGGGGTGGGGGGCTGGAACCCAGACATGTGAAGCTAGGACTCTCACGTCTCTACCAGCAAGCAGATCACTCCACTCTTGAGCCCCACTGGTCTTAACCTTGGCGGATTTTAAAGCCCAATAGCACAAGGTGATGACCCCCCCTCCCTGCCTCCTCAGAGCACTTAAGGATGCTGAAAGCCTCTTGTTCTCTCTTGCTGGGAGGGGTAGCCAGAAGATTAGTCATCTTCCAACCTCTTACCACCACCACCACCACCCCCTGACTTCCCAGGGGAGTCGCGACAGAAGCAGTCTGAGCGCGGTGATTTTGGAATCACATGGTTTTTGATTGGACCAATGAGTGGTGACTTCTTCATTCTGCGTGACTGGGACATGAAGTGTCAGCAACTTCAGGAAACTTTCTATTCTCATTGGCTGAGGGAACAGAGTGGTGAACGTTTGGACCAATTCCAGAATTTCTGGTGGCAGAAGGCGAGGCTTCTAGAGAAAAGGGAGGGATTAGAGCATGGTTGCATCTCCCTCCTGCCACTCCGGACTTTTTCCTCCAACACCCATAACTTTTTGAGGAGCTATCCCACAATTGAGCATATTCCACCTTAACTGCAGCTTTGTGAGATGTGCAGTGTGTTAGCAGTTTTAAAAACCAGAAACAGGGGGAAGTCCTATTAAGAAAAAAAAAAAAGGAAGAGGGGTCTCTGGCTGGCTCAGCCGGTGGAGCATGTGACTCTTGATCTCGGGGGTTGTGAGTTCAAGCCCCACATTGGGTGTGCAGATTACATAAATAAAAACTTTTAAAAAAAGAGAAGAAAAAGAAGAAGGTTAAGTGACTTGTCAGTTACTTATTGGCCTACCTGGGCCTAGAATTCCAGGGATGACTCTCATCGGTTTAACCCTTGGTGTGGCCATGTGTATGGGAGCCCAGGAACGGGACATGAACCTCCACCTGATCACATTAGCACAGTCCACTGGATCCGTTTAGCAGGTAATGGGGTTATCACCTTGGAAAGTACTTTTTAAAAAGTGGGAAAAGTTAGGTGGGAAATCAGCTTTGGTGGGGAGAGGGAGTGGGAGAGCTGGTCAGACCCTGGAGGGAGGGCAAGGGAGAGGGGCCTCCATGCCAAGCAGACCTTAATATTCCCTGCAGCACTTTATAGTTACTATAGGACTTTTACACCCTTCACTTACCTGGTTCTTTACAGGGTAGAACTGCAGGTGGTTTCTATCTCCAGCGGGAGGGGGCATGCTCAGGAGTTAAGAGCCTGGACCACCAGCTCCTTGGAGGGGGGGCAGTGCTCCAAGTCCACACTTGGCTGTCCCTCACACCCTTCCTCCACCCACCCGGTTTAGCCCTGGGTGCAGAGCCATGTATACAGATCCTCAGGACATGCGTGGGTGCAGAGGTCTGTGTTCATGTGCTGAGGGGGGTGGGTTCGTGGGTGTACCTGGAGTCTTTCTGCGTGCTGCCCTGCGGGGGGCCTTGTTGCCTGACGGCCAGCGGCTGAGCGTGAGCTGAGCCCACCCGTGCACCCGCGGGAGGAGGCTACTTTCTGCCCCCGGGGAGTGGTGGCCCTTCTGACCGGTCTTGGCCTGGCTCCACTCCCTTTAGCCTCTCTGCTTCTGTCTCCCGGTGTCTCCTTGCACCCCCATCTGCAAGGGTTTCCAATTTCCTCCATCAGTTTCTCCGACCTGGTCCCCAGGGCTCTGCGTGCCCTTTCCAGTAGCTCTGACTTATCTGGCAGCGGGAGGTCGGGGGAACGGGATTAGTTCGAGGGGGTGGCCCCTGGGGGAGGGAGGTCTGCGAAAGCGGGGGAAGGAGAGGAGGCACCGGGACAGAGCGTAGAGGTGCCAGGGGCGTGGGGCGATAACTAAGCCAGCAGTCACCCCCTCCGCCAAAACCCAAGGCACCTCCCACCCTTAGTCCCGCTGCCCAGCCGGGACAAGGGGCGGAGTTTCGTCGGCGGGACTTGAGGCCACCCAGCTGCGCCCGCCCCGGGGCCCGCACGCGCCCCCCCCCCCGCACCTGCTCTCCGCCCCCCCCCCCCCCCCCGCCCACAGGCCGCCCGGAGTCCACTCCAGATCCGGGCCGGGTTTCCTCCGCGCCGCTAGGGTCTCCGCCCCTCGGAGCCGCCGCCAGTGCCCAGCAGAGCGTCGCTGCGGGAGGCAGCACCCGAACCCCGAACCTCCCGGCACGCGCGCCCGCGTGCGGGACTGAGCCGCGACGCAGACCCCACACCCGCACTCCAACTCCGAGATGGGACTGCTCCGGTCCCCGCGCGTCACCCGAACTCGACCCTCGGGGCTCCGAAGTGACCCCTCTCCCCGCACCGTTCGCTGTCTGCGTGGCCGGCCCCGCTCCGTGTCTCGGCATCCCGGCCCGGGCTCCCGCTCCGGCGAGGTAGGGGGCCGCGGGCCTGGGGGCTGGGGGCTGGCGTGCTCCTCCTCCACGGAATGAGGGCAGCAGGAGGCCACCGCCCCCCCAGGGCAAGACAGCCGCTGCGCCCCCTACAGCCCTACCCCTCCCGGTCCGGTGACCTAGATAACCGGGACCGGGACTTTGCCTAGATGTTCAAAGGCACTTTCCCGTCCGTCATCCCTCCCCCCCCCCGTCGCCATTGCGCTCCCACCTGTCCCCAGAGCCTGGCGCCCACGGCAACCCCTGCCAAGTAGACAGCTTCCTTCGGAAGCTCTCCCGCCTGCGGCCCCCACTCCCCACTCCTGGAAAGGGGCAGAGGAAAGACTGGGGAAGACCCTCCAGGACAACCCCCTAATCCATGGCTGTGGCCCTGGGGCATCCCCCAGCGCTCGTTGGTCTATCTTCCTCATCCCCTGCATCTGCCCCATTTCATCTTGACTCCCCTGCCTCTGTTCCCGAGGTCTCTATTCTCTTCCAGACTCTTTTTCTGGCTTTCTCCTCCCCTTGACCCCTTCCGCCATCGCCCACCGTGGGCAGCAGGAGGTGCGTCGCTGCTTCCTATTTACGGTCTCCCTGGGGAGGGGGTGCAGTGCTAGGACTTTCCTGGCATCCGCGGGGCCCCGAGTCACGAGGTGTCATGTCTGCGTCTGGTGCCCGTGCCTCCTCCCACTCCCCTCTCCCACCCTCTCCTGCCCCGCACCTCCCTGTCCGCCTTTGTCTCCTTCCTGCCTCCCTTCCTGGCCTTTTTGCTCCCTTCTTTGGGCGCTTTGTGTAGCTTTGTCTTTGTCTCCGCCTCTCCGCTCTCTGCCCCCTCTGCTCCCTCTCCCCCCTCTTCCAGCTCCGAGAAGCTGTCGACCTCAAGGGCATCAACATTTCAGGTGTGTGGGGTGCGGTGGAGGTGGGGTGGGGGCCTCCCAGCATGCCCAGCGAGGACTGTAATCATCCCCTCCCGGAGTGATCATTCATATTTATAAGATTGAAAGAATGGATCCAAGGATGCAGGAGATGGAGGGCAAGGGAAACGCTGCCCCTCTTCCTGGAGCTGCGTCCAGGAGATGCCTGAACTACATCTCCCACAGTGCCCCGGAAGCACAGGGCTGCCTCTGTCTAGATACCTTATGGGAATGATAGGTCAAGGAGCCAGGCTGGAGGGTGCTGTTCTGAGGGAAGAGGTGTAGAGGAGTGCCCGGAAAGAAAATGAGAGAGATGAATTTGCAAGCTCTTCCTTCTTTCCTGTGACCCCCTTACGCCTTACGAACAACCTTATCCAAGATGTAGGTAGATGCACCCTTTGGAAAGAATCTCCCCCATCTTGAAAGCGAAGGAGGGTAATGGAAGCCTAATGTCTTGAATTAGTTGGCTGTGTCCCTGTCTACAAGTTTCTCACATTCTGTCCCTTTTGGGGGCAATGGGGAGTTGCTGAGCTCAGCAGAGAACTACCAGCTAGTATTTTTCAGGGACCCTTGAACAGCTGGTGAGTTTGCCTGGAAATGTAGATGGAAGCCACAAGCTAACTTGTTCATTTTCTGAGACCCATCATCCCCAGAGCCTGCCACAAGGAATCTGATGCTTGAGCTGGCCCCAGGCTTGTTGTTGGCATGGAAGTGCCGACGTGACAGTGGTGGTGGTGGTGGGGAGGGGGGCACTGGAGTTTCCTCCCAGGATCCCATTTCGGGTTCTTAGCCTTTAGTACTTGAGACCTTTGACTCCTGCCAAGGAACGACCCAGTAATTCCTATCCTTGCTCTTCAACCTGGGCTTGGAGATCCAAATACACCAAAAAGAGGTCTCCCCCACTGGCCGAGGAGCCAGGAAAACTTAACCTTTAGCCTGGCTTGATCCAAGCTGAGTCACCTTAGGCCAGATCTTAGCCTCCTTGGGTGTCCGTTTCCTCATCGTGAAAGAAGTGGGTTGAACCTGAAGGTCTCCGGTGGCTCTAGCAGGGGCTCTAAGATCCTCTGAGTCTGGCTTCCCCTGCTCTCTGATGATATTGGCCTGATGCTGTCTTACCTCATCCAGCTAAGGATTACCTGGGAGGGCCTTAGACAACAGCATCAGGCTGAAAAGAAAGGGAAATGGGGCTCTTGTTTTGAAGCTTTAACTGTACAGCAAGCATGCTGTGTTTATGTAAGCTATGTTTGTGACATGGAAGCTAAGACCATCCCTAAACTCCTTGGTATCATTGTTTGTCCCCTCTCCCAAACCTAGGTCACGTTCTTGTTAACAACAACAAAACAACCAAACCAACATAATCCCCCACAAAGTAGCTGGTATATGTGTCTCCTGGGATGTTGGTTAATGAGGCTTAAGGTAGGTTATATGAAGGGACTGTTATAACTGGCTGAAAGAGAGTAAGCGGATTTAATTGGTTGATCTGGTTTGTCTGGAGGAGACAGGTCTGGAAATGAAGAGTCATTAGGACTTGGGGAGGGGGCTTTCTCTTGGCCCTGGCTCTGGCAGGGAAAACAGAAGAGCTGGAGGCCAAACGGTGACAGATCCAGAGGAGTTAACCCAAAAATGAGAATTGGAAAGACACAGAAAATCTTGAGTAGGATGTAGGGTAAGAGTTATAGGAAGAATTTAGAAAGAAGAACAGAGGGAGAGAGAAAATCAGAGGAGACTCTCTGGAGGGAAGGTAAATGGAAGAGGGGCATAGGTGATCTAGGTGACATTCTGTTTGCAGGAGCTCCAACAGAGCCCTTTCCCAAATGATCATCTAGCCCTAGAGTGGAGCCAGGTCTCCCTATGGAGAAGGAGGAAGGAGGAAGGGAAAGGTGGGTTTGATAAGGCTGGGAGGAATGACTTGAAATTTTCTAATGGAGCTCTCCATCTGTCCACTCTGGTTTATGTTTGAATATATGTGTCAGAGGTGGGAGTGGAGGGTACTGGAGTGGCAATAGGGGGAAGATCTGGAGTCTTACACCCCCCCCTTTTGCCCTGGGATTGTGACTGGCAGGGGTAGGAAGGAGGGGATTGAACCCTCCGTTTTTCCCAGGGACCCCTTTTGTGGGGGGAGTGGAGATGGTGGTGGTTTCTCATGTTCTTGCAGAGGTCTTGGAGAGGTGGGGGGGACCCTTTCAATTTTTTACCCCTCCAAGTGCCTTCTGCCCCTTGTCTGAGTCCCTGGGAGCAACTGGGGGTGAAGGAGATCTCGGGACAGTGTCTGAGGAGCTCATGGGGTTCCTGATTTGTGACTGCCCTGGTCCCAACCCTTCCAGGGTTGGGAGCTCTGGGAGCTGGTCAGAGCTGGAGGCCCTGTATTCCCAGGGTCTTGTGTGGAGAGCAGAAGAGAAGGGGTATTTGTGGAGGAAAGGGCTGTGGGGACTGGGTGTGTAGGGGGCCACATGTGGAAACAGGAGCTCTGACCACAGTACTGGGTTGTCTTTTTTCTGCAGGGTAATGAAGCTGGAAGCCAGTTGTGCCGCCAGCTCAGAGGTCCCTAAGCCTGAAAAGGAGGCCGAGCCAGATGCGGAGCCACATTCAGACACCCGGCCACAGGAGGCGGCGGCCAAGTCCAGATCTAGATCCCGGCCTGAGGCTGAGACCAAGACCCTGGGGGCTGAATCGGGGCCTGAGGCCAAGGCCAAGTCCTTGGGGGCCAACCCCAGGTCCGGATGGGAGCCTGAGGATAAGGCCGAGCCGTTGGACTTCGTGGTGGCACAGAACGGGAGTTTGAGGAGGTGCTGGCCATCTCTGGGGGCGTCTACGGTGGCCTCGACTACCTTCCCAGCCGCTACCACAGCCGGCTCCGGGATCCCGACGGCACCGTGGTGCTGGCCCAGCATAACGGAGTGGTGAGAGCCGGGGCCCTGCTGAAAAGGGGGTGAAGCTACATTTGGGTGACTGGGATCTTAGGAAGGAGAGGAGGCGAGGCTCTCGTCTGGATGCTGAGGAGTGGGTCTGCTTTGGAACCAAAGAGTAGGGCGTGCGGATCCAGGGGCCCAGCCAATGAGCGTAGAATGGAGGACTTGTAGTCCTTGGAATAGCGGAGGAACCGGAGGGAGGGACTGGGGACATCTTCGGTCTTTGAAGATTCGTTTGAGGAGTTTCTGGGGGCACAAACATAAACAGAAAAGAGCAGGCAAGAGAGGGTAGACTGGAGGCGAGAGCAAGAGTGGGGTCAAGACTCCCTAGTGGACTGAACTCTCGCACAAAGAGCACCTGGAAGCGGGACAGGCTCCGAGAGGGGGTCGGGGCGGAACTAAGAAGAAGCGGGGGCGTGGCAGGGGCTAGGGGGCGTAGCAAGCTCCTGGGGGTGGAGCCAGGGAAAGGGGGTGTGGCGATCCTCAGGGACCTGGTGCAAGCCGAGCTGGAGCATCTCAGGAAGTGGACGGGAAAAAAAAAAAAAAAAAAGAGGTGGACGAGACCCGGACGAATCTGGCGTTCTGCCAGCTCTGGAATTCGAGACCCGAGTGCTGAGGAGATCTCCCTGGGCAGGCCCGGGTCTGGCCTGGCGCCCGGGGTGGTGACGACGGAGTGCTCAGCGTGTGGGAAGAGGCGAGTCCTGTGAGCCGAGAACCCCGGCAGGGGCGGAGGGCCCCCTAACCGCGTCAGTCCGCAGATCGCGCTGGAGTCGGTGCACGTGATCGACGCCCAGGAGACCGTGCTGGTGCGGGGGCTGCGCGTGGCGTCCTGGGAGCGCGGCAAGGGCGTGGCGCGACAGCACCCGGGGGTCAAGGTGGCACAGGTCACCCGGGACGACCAGCTGGGCCCCCGGGAGCTGAAGAAATACCGCCTAATCACCAAGCAGGTGAGAAGGACTCGGGAGGTCAGCTAGCCAGGCGTCCTCCCCCCTCGCCCGGTCACCGGCTTGCTTTCTCTGCAGGCTCTGCCGAGGGGGGGCGCGCGTGAGCCCAGCCCCGGACTCCCAGTCCCGACTCAGACCCTTTTGCCCTGGGGCAGTCAAAAAGCTCCCGACTCCCAGCCATCAGACCCTCAGTCCTTACTCCAGATGGCTGCGGAGCCCAGGAGTACGGAGTTCCGTGACCCTTCTCCTCTATTGATTCTGCCTCCCTTCAGGGACCCAAAGATCCTAATCTGAGGCTTTGTCCTTTCCCTCCGCTTCCCCTATCCTACTGACTGATCTGTTTCCCACCCTTCCCCTCCCCTCGGAGACCCAAGGCCCCACACTGAACCTGCCCCTCCTTGGGGATCCAGGCACATACTCCGAAGCCTCGTCCCTGGTTCCTCCATGCTACCTTCGGGGGGCCGGGGGCAGGCTTTCACATACCCCACTCCACCTCTCCCGGCACGGTTGGTCCTCCCGAGGGGCCCTACTGGGATCCCGTGAGTGTGCCTGTGGGAGTGAAGATGCCAAGAGGCGCTGGGCTCTCCAGGCCTCCGCGCCCACCCTGCGCTCACCCTTGAACCCCGCGGCGCTGCGAGTCTCCGGCACCTTCTCGCGGCTGCCCACCGAGGTCGAGTCGGAGGCTGGTGGCGACGTGGCACGCCTCCTGCTGTCGCCCTCCGTGCAGCGCGACGAGCTTCCGGGCGGGACCATCATCCAGGACTGGCAGCCCTACCGGCCGAGGGAGAGCAACCCGCGCCTGCTGGCGGCCAAGGGCCTGGAGTGGCGCGTGGACAGCCGCGCGTGCCCGCGCGTGCTCACTCTGTGCACGCGCCTCTTCCCCATCCTGTCGGGCGGTGACTGCACGTGGCGCTACCTCAACATCAACGCCTTCGGCAGCGATGGCGTGCAGGTGCAGAGCCAGCTTCTGTGGCACCTGCAGCGCTAGGCCCCGCGCCTCGCCGGCCTCATCGTCCTGTGCCAGCTTTTCCTAGAGCCCCAGTTATGGTCACAGCTGGCTGACTTCTGCCAGGCCGGCTTGGGGCTCGAGCAGGCCAAGGGTTATACAGAGCAGTACCTGCTGGAGGCCGACAGCTAGGGCCTCTCCTGTCCGAGGGGAGAGAAGAAGCACTTCAAGATCGGCCCTCTGGCGCTGATCTCCAGAAAGCCCTGCCCGCCGCCGTTTGCAAGCTCCGCCCCCTCCCCCTGCGCTCCGCGGCGGGCTCTGAAGCCCAACCTTCCTCGGAGCGCCCTCCCTAACCTTTTTACCCTTACTTCTCGGTCGGCCATCCTGCCTCTAGCGCTCCCAAAAGCTGTTGCCCACGCCTTGATCCGAACCGCCGGGTTTGGCGGAGGCCCTTGCGCTGCTATTGTCCGCCCTTCCCCCCTTTACTGGCCAAAGAATGGGTTCCTTCCCAGGCTTCAGAGCCTTGCCTTCTCCGTCGCCCTGGCCTGACAGTGAACTCTGCCCTTCCTGGCTTCTCCCTTCTGCCCCCTCGCGGGTGGAAGCGGGCAGAAGGATATGCCATGCCCAGCTGCCCAACACGCATTACTTTTCTTCCTCCCGCCCTTTCTCAAGCTCTCAGGGCCTGCCCGGCACTGCCCTCCTTGCCTCCCTCCCAGCCTTCTGTGCTTCTGCATCAGTGTCCTCTCCCTCCTCCTCCCTGGGCCTCCCAGACACTTAGCTCCTCTCATGGTCCGTTTGTCTGCTCCTCCATTCCTCTTCCCGGTGACCTTTTCATCACCCACCCTGTGTGCAATACGGAGAGAGAGCCTGTCAATGTACTAGCATTATAATGCCCCGCTGACCCTCCGGTGGCGCATCTTTCCAAGCCTGCCCCTTCTGACGGGTTTCCTCCGACTTTGCACCATGTTGCTATTTCAGAGGCCCCCTTCCCATGCCCCCAACCAGTGGCCTGAACCAGGCCGTGGACCAGGGGGTTTGGGCTGGAGAGTTTGGTGTGGGGAGGGCAGATCCCTCAGCCCAGTATGGGGCTGTCTTCTGGTTCTAACCAGGCTGCCTTCTGGCGCCCCTGGAACCCCCACCTCCAGATATTTCTGGACATCCCTCCCTTCCTCGGGTTTCTTTATGCTTTTTGGACTTTGGCAGTTTCCTATTTGAATGCAAGTAGTAACAGCTGCAGTTGCTCAGCGGTGGATCCTCACATCTACCACAGCGGGAGGAAACAGAGGCTCGCAGAGACCAAAAAAGTGCCTTCCAAGTCACTCAAAGTAACTGGGAGCCTGGCAGGGACTAGAATTCAGGTGTCCCACGCCCCGAGCATGCCTCAGAACCGCACTCCGTGTGACCGTGAGTGCTTGAACTTGTCGTTGGTCGATGGACAGTCGGTGGGGATTTGTTGACAGCAAGCACAGGGGTCGCTGGGGATGGAGTCAAAGACGCGGGCAGAGGAGGGCGCCTGGAGGTGAAAGAAGGTGGGCAAAGAGGGCAGCGGCTGCTTCATCACCTTCCCCAGTTCCGGTTCTGCGGCTGTGCGGCACTGCCTTGCTTGGCTGCCTTGGGCGCCTGGCCACGCTGCCACCCTCCCTGTCACTTCAACCGCGGCTGTATTGCAATAAAACGGACCCTTAGCCCACCCTCTGTGTCTGTTTCACTTCTCGGTGGGGGAGGGATGAGACGCATTATCCTCCCCCCCTCCCTTCCCCAGCAGCCTGTATTAGAGAGGATCTCTAAGCCCTGTGGCAATGGGGCTAATGACTTCCTGGAGCTGGAGAGGGCTGCTGGCCGCGGCGTGCCCCCACCCCCACCCCAGCCAAGCGGCAGAAAGAAGCGGTTGCTCAGGAGCGAGGAGGGCAGCTGCGCGGCACCCTGGCAAGCCCGGGTCGCTCTTTCCCCTGGACCTGGGAGTCCGCTGCTATCCCAATTCTATGGGCTTCTCTCCCAAGTTCCCTTTGGCATCCAGGACCGGCCTCCCTGAGCCCCACAATCCAGGCGTCTAACTCCCGGCTCTCGGCTCTCTTGGCCAGAGCGCCCGCTTTCCGGATTCCTGGGTGGGCACCGCGCGGAAGGGGGAGGAGGTGGAGGGAGCTTGGGCGCCGCCCCCCGGGAGCCGAGCTCCGGAGCGCCGGAGACTGCGATTCCGAAAAGTAACACGCGGGGGCGCCAGGACGCGCGGACGCAGGCGAGGCAGCGCAAGGTGGTTTCCGTCCGTGTGAGTGTGTCCATGGGCGTCTTTGTGTGTCTGCGTTTCTGTACATGTGTGTACCAGTCACAGGGTGTCCGGGTGGGATGTATTCGGGACAACGTGCCTGGTGTACCCCAGAATCAGGTACTCCAAGTGGCTTTTTGATGAGGAGAATGCTTGCTTGATATGTTACTATGTATGTGTGGATGGGGAGGTAGGCAACTGTGTATCGTCGTGTGTGCAAGGCGTAGCCTATGACTCCCTGAAACCGCATCTTGGATTTTTGAAGTCACATTCCTTCAGGATCCCTCCCACCATTCCATGTAAAAGGAACGAGGGCTCTCAACGCAAATCTCCATTACCCTGGTCCCATCTTCAGCATGTGTCTGAGTGACACTGCCAGGCTAGGTGTGATACTGTGTTTGTGTAAGTGGGTGTGTCTCAGAATATCAGTGTAACTCTGAATAACAACAGTATGTTTGTGTGTGACAGGTGGATGTTGGAGGAGGCTGGGTCAGAATTATGAAAGTACACAATTTGCTTTCTCTGGTTAGTTTGTGGATATCACCTTCATGGCGTGTGTGTTTTCCCTTCTCAGTCTCTCCAGAAGCTGTCTCTCTTTGTGTCTCCCCTCATCTCTGTCTCTTTCTCTCTCTCTCATTCTCTTGGTGACTCATCTCTGCGGCTTTGCCCTCCCCCGGCTTGCTGGGTCTCCCATCCCCCACTCAGGAGTGGGTGGGGGTATGAGAGAATGGGACCCTGGAACTGAAAATCAGGGTAAGCACCCCCTTCCTATTACTCATCATTCCCAGACCCACCAGTGGCCCCCAGCCCCCTCTCAGTCCCCTCCCCAGGACTCCCCACTCTACTGAACAGGGCTGGTAAGGGGGTAGGGCAATGATGCTTTTTAATGGGGCCATTTTCAGGGGGACCTTCAGCACCTTCTTTCAGTTCAAAGTGGAGACCCCTGCTCCTCTCATAAAGTGCCCCCTCCCTGCCTGTCCCCCCATCGCTGACGCAATGAAAGGCTGCAGAGGTGAGTCACCGGTTGGGGGGAAGGGAGAGTTGGGGGGATGGTGAGTTGCGGGGTCCCCAAGCCCCTGCCCTCTTTTTCTCTTCCAAACCTCCTCAGGGAAAAGACACAGTACTCTGTCCACCCCCTCCCCTGGCTTTCCAAATCTTCAGTTTGGATCACTATTCCATTGGACCCCATCTTCTCCTGCTGCCCTCTTGGAGAGTATGAGAGATTCAGAAACAAAGACAGAGAGAAGGATTTATACAAATAACTCAGAGCAAACACCAGGCATCCCCTCCAGGTCGCCATCTCAGCACTGCCTTTTCTAGCTCTGTCTCTCCATTCTCTATCTTTCCTGCCATCTCCTTCCTCTACCGGTTCCAGGCAACTGCCCCCAGTCCAGCTCTTTTCCAGAAGCCCCTAGAGGCAGCAGGGTATGAAGGACACAGCACATCTCTGAGAGGTGGGGTGTGTGTGAATGAGCAGACCCAGGTAGGGAACTGAGATGAAGACAGGCAGAAACAGACCCAGAGATTCAGAGTCCATGTAGACACGATCCAGATTGTGTTATCACCAAGCCTTTTGCTGTGGATGCCCTGGCTGGGTGCCCACCCCCTACCTTGCTGCCCCCCTCCCCCACCCCATGCTGACTGAGATTCTTGGGATGTCAGGGTCTGAGAAGCTCCCCTGGGCTTCTGGGCTGAGTGGAGGAAGGAAAGGGTGAAGAGTTGGGGAAGGATGGAAGAATAGAGGAACAATCTGAAAACAAGGGGGCAAGGACCCGAACTTGGGGGCAGCAGATGAGTGGATTTACTGTACAGAAATCTAGAGATGGTGAATGTGGGGGAGGGGCAGGCAAGATCAAAGACACAGAGACATCTACATAACTTGTAACATAAATCAAAAAGCAGAGAAGGATTCAGAGAAATGCACAAAGACGCATGTGTACGCACACACACACATGCGCGCGCACACACTATTGACACACCAAGCCAGGCTCACTTTTCAGACACCAGCAGATGCCCAGACTGGATGCACTCAAAGTCTCCCAACCACACAGGTATACAGACACTCAGAAGGATCAGAACCCACACGCACTCATACTTATACAATGACATCTGGAAACAGGCAAAAACATGGCCACACAGATCGCAAGAGAAGATTTCATATTTAAAGTGGAACACTATCATGCCCATCCACTCTATCTGATTAAATACACAATTGGTCTTCTAATTCCCTTTCTCCCCCCTCCCATATGTTTCATTAAACTCTGTACACACACAAACACACATGCACACATATGTACATGCACACATAGGTGCGTGTGCACATATACAAGCCCACAGAAACACAAACCGTTTCTCTAGGTGCCTGTCTCCCCTCATCTCACACTTAGTTGTTAGCCCCATCAACCTCTCAGTCTGCCCCCCTTGGCTCCTTCCCTCCCCTCTTCCTTCTCTCTTGGATGGCTTCCCCTCCCCCCTCCAGATGTCTGAGCCATCTCTCTGATTCATCCTCCTCGGGAAGGTAACGTGACCCCCTCCCCATTCCACTGCTCACAGTAACCAGGCTGGGAAGATAAAGGGGAGAAGAACAGGAGGAGAAAGAGGAATGAGGGGAGCCCCCAGGTTAGGCAGTGGTCCTAGATAGTAGTGTGGGTTGGGGGTGGGGGGGCGAGGCACAGCCTTGGGGTCTGCTGCCCCCTCCTCTCTCTGCTTTCTTTGGTATTTCCACAGTCACCTTGGTTCTCAGTGCTGTGTTGGTGGTTTTTTTTTTTTTTTCTCCTTTAGCCTGTTCCTTCTACCTGTTCCAGATTCCTTCCTTCCTCCCTCCCTCTCCTGCTCCCATCTCTTCTCTCCTTCCTCTCTCTACTCCTCCCCACCTCTTTCCCTGCAGAGCTGATGGGCTTTCTTCTGGGAAAGTCGAGCCACTGATGGA